AAAAAGGGACGGTTAAAACAAAGATTTGACAAGGTAAGAAAACTTTCTGTAGCTGTTTCATTTAAATTAAGATGGTTACAAGCAGCATTTTTCTTCTGCATAGTGAAGTTTCAAGGCTGTATTAAGTGATGTTCAGTTTGAAAAGAACCATAATTATTTTTTCAGAATTGAAAACATTTTAGGGAAAATTATCATGTGTACGTAACTCTGAGGTTCTACTACACATACTCTCCATCCAGCATTGTATATGGACTGAGCGATTTGTATGTGTTACAAGTTCAGGGTGTGCAGTGACAGAGATGCTTGGAGAATGGCGGTGACTAACACCTTTAAATATGTATTCTGTGATCCCAACACATCACTTATTCAACATGCTCAGGAGCCAGACTTGCTGCTCATTCACCTAATTTCAAAATGTGCCCCATATACTGGAAATTAGCACTGCTATTATCCAGGCAATGCAGCAGTGGGTCGCCAGCTTGCTGCCAGGTGAATCCTGCTTAGCAGAAAACTGCACCAACCTGTGAGGAAGACAACTCCCACTCCCCCAAGCACGTCTGTGCTATTTTTATAGAAACACCATCAAGTGACAAGAGAATGATGGTACCACCCCTCCTGGAGAACCTTAGCCTCAAATACCATAGTCATAGGCAATGAAAAAAATATTCAGACTGTTGTATGTTAGGTGACATTTTACTGGTGATCAAAGACAGAGGAAAGTGGGTTGGTGTGGGGAAGCTCTATTATGTATTAGGATTCTTAGTTACCCCTGCTGTTTTCTGCAGGTACCTCGCTGGAGCTGGTGCTGGGCTGGTTCTAACCAGTGATGAGCTGGTTCAAGGCCTCCTTAGCTGCATAAACAAGCTGTGAGATAATTAAGCCCAAGGACATGTGTGGGAATGCGATAGCCATGGTGCTTCTTGCTAGAATCTACCTGTGAATGTTTGTGCTTCTCAGAAAGAGAGAGCTATAAAACAGCTGAAAGGCACTGCTTGAAAGATCAGTCCCACCTGTGAATCTAGGCTGTGTGGATACCCAGGAGTTCCCCACGCTGGAGCAGTGCCCGCTATCAGCCCTCGAGAGCATGGACGGGAGGGCCCAGGACTAGCAGTAGCTGGAGAAGGGGCGTAAGCATTGGATCCTTGCTTGCCTGAATGCTCGCTTGCTTAATTGCCTGCTTCTTTGCGCTGAGAAGCACATATTTAGTAATGCATGAAGGCTGTAAGGCGTAACATGCTTTGGCAATAAAACCTCTTATGTTTATGCACCCAGTGTGGCTTCACTGAGTGTATCTGAGCCTCCTGATAGAGCATCAGGATTGACCACAGAAGCAGAGCAATGGGACTATATGGTAAAATAAGTATGAACTTTGCAGAACTAGTCTCATTTTAGGCCTCAGATTAACTGTTTTTCCCTCTGTTGGCTTGTTTCCTTGAATCTATTTTAGTCTTTCACTAATTTGTGCTTGCTCAAGTCATGCAGTAAAGGTCAGAATCAGATGTTCATCTCATTTACATTGGTGGAAATAAGGTTAGAATCTGCCCAGAGGATCTAATCAATGATTTCAGCAACATTAGTGAAACCAGCCAGTGGCTGCTAAATCAGTTATGTTCATCCTAGCATCTGGTCACCAGTTGGCAAACCCCAACCCTTGCTTATAGAGTGTGTCTGATTATGCAGTCAGTAGAAAACAGAAGGACTTAATATATACTTGTATCCAAGACTGGAATGTAACTTTGTCAAACTTTGTCAAACCTATTTAATATCAATGTGATTTCCCTTCTCCATCTCCAGGCTGTTCGGAGTTCCTTGTAGTCATCAAGTTCTTGGGAATCTTTGAGGTTTAATTCACAGCTCATCTGCTTAGGTTCTAAGGAAAGGGAAGGGGGAAATGGTTCTTTGGTCTGACTTCAGTTTATCTCCAGCCTAGTCTTCTTTGGGTAAAGACGCTATGCAATTCAGATTCAAGAACAGATGTACTCAAGACACACACCTCAGGATATCTAAACAAATACTGAAGTTTGTCAGCATGTAATAACCCTCTCCTTGTCTGTAAATTATTCCTCTTAATGATCAAATTAGTGCCGTTTTTATCCTGCTCCGTGATAGGAATGTTAACAGTTGTTTAATAAGGTAACTGCTAAAAATCTTAGTGGTTATGCGAGTGGAGGGTTCTGCAGTATAAATCTTAAATAGGCTTCATACGTCAGAGCCCACAGAGAAGTCTCACCATTAGCAGGGCTGCCAGCTCTGCTCCAGGGCAAGCATCTTTGCTGCTGAAGGGAAGCTACTTCCCTGGGAGTGGGGCAGAGTTAAACCGATTCTTATCAGTTAATATTATGGGTTAATCAGTTAAATGCTTAACATCCCTACTCCATGGAAGGGAGATTGGTAATTAGAGCACTTTACTGTTACTTGTACTTAATTGTGTAAGTCTGAGCTTTCTTAGGCCTATTATTAACTCTGTAGTAGGTCAAATGTTAGACTTGCCCCTCTGAGTTTTCAAATGTCATAAGTAAAGAACTGGCTGACACACGCTCAGTAATGCCACCTCTTTTATATCAGGGTGTCCGCACTGTTTTATGCTAGAATTGTTTATAAAATGTTCTTACCAACAATATCCTTGACCCTTCAGCTTAAGACCAACCCTTCTGGGTCTTCTCCCTGGGCAGTTTGAGTAAAACTGCTACCAAAGCAGAACAGTGTTTTTTCCCAATTCACTTTGAAAAGGAAAGTCCCATTATTAGCTTCAGTATAAAAGGCACTAATTAGTATCTGTTACATCAATTACAACATGCAGGTGCAGTAATGTCGTCAACAGTTTTGCTGATAAATCAGAGGTTACCATCACACAATGTTTGCTATTGGTAAGTGAACTGATCAAGGGACTTGTCAATGCTCTAGTTATCACTGTGTTAAGGCTTTCCAAGTGTGCTGCACACTGGAAACCATGCAATACATTTTACCCTTACAGTGAACACAGGGTACCATAAAAGCTGAGCTTAATTGGGAAGGATTAGTTTCTCACCCCATTACTGAACATTTGAAACAGGTAAGTCACACTTTTGATTTAAATGCCAGAAGAAACCATTAAAACCATATGGTCTGACCTCCTGCATATCACAAGCCAGAGAATTTCACTCAGGAGCTCCCACATCAACCCTTTTCTTGTGACTGTGCAATAGCATTTTTTTTTAAGAAAGAGATCCTCTCTGGTTTTAAAAGGGTGAAACCCCAGATCCAGTGAACTAAACTGAAAAATTCCTACTGAAATCAAGAGGACAGGTTTTCATCCCAGGACAAATAATGGTGAATCCAACAGATACCTTGGTAAACCATTTTCCGTTTAAAATGAAAGAACTGTGCCTTATTTGTAACCTGAATGAATGGCTTTAAAGTGCTTTCAGCAGGTAGAGGAAATACTCCAGGGTAGCAGGAGATAGTGGGAGGTGTGGATTAAACAATAAGGAACGTCTTCTCTTGGAATGATATTATACTACTCAGATGTGGGGATATAGTAAGTGTTCTAACATTATACATTTTGTATGGAACCTGCTCCTTACCGTGGCTAATGTGAACCACAGATGGAGCTGTCACTCAAGAAACCTTACTGGTTGAATAGGGACTTGGAAAGATGTGCTCTAGGTACCAGACCTTCTAGTCTTCTCCCTGGGCAGTCTGAGTAAAACTCAGCAAAGCAGAACAGTGTTCTTTCCCAATTCACTTTGAGAAAGAAAGCCCCATTATTAGCTTCAGATTAGGGTAAAATCCCATTTAATTAGTTAACCAGTCAAACATAACTGATTAAAGGGACAGCCCCCACCAGTTAACCTTTCACGTCCTTACTTCAGAATAGTTAGTTATGTGTAATTACGAGAAGCAACAGAGCATTGGTGCAGACGTCCAATTACCCCCACATTGAGATATTTTTGCACGGACCACTGCGTGTGCAGGCATGTGCATGTAAGAGTGCAGATGCAAACCCCTGCCAGCTAAAACTTCTAATTGTACAAGTTAGCGTGCAATTGGTTTGGAACACACACAAGTATAGCTAAAAAGCTGAGACTGTATAATCAATGACCAGGAATGGAGGGATTACATGTAGAGAGGAATGTGAATCTTAAAATGAAGTAAAATAAAGGGGATTTCTATTGCAAGAGGTGTCTGAATGCTAACCGGACTTGCCAGATGCCTTAACTAACTTTTATCATGGAAAAATTAGAGTACACAAAGATCCCCATTAGGAGGCGGGAAATCCATCATAGAATACTAGGACTGGAAGGGACCTCGAGAGGTCATCGAGTCCAGTCCCCTGCCCTCATGGCAGGACCAAATACTGTCTAGACCATTCTGATAGATATTTATCTAACCTACGCTTAAATATCTCCAGAGATGGAGATTCCACAACCTCCCTGGGCAATTTATTTGGGTACATCATATAGGGTACTCTAAAAGGATATAAAACAGTGCGTCAATTGTACAAAATGAAGTTAAAAAGTACTTGGGGGGAGAAACTCACTCCCATGCCTGGCTCTGCAAATCTTCAAATGCTTCGCACTGATAAGACTGGGTCACTCCATCAGCACTGGTTGTAAGTAGTAGCTTGGAGTAGTTCAAAGTTTCTAGCTCATGTGGACATCTGACACTTACTTACGGAATCAACTGCTCTTTAAGACCCAGCCCTTTGTTGTGGTAGCATAGTGCTCCACAGGCAGCTCTGGGAGGAATTTTCCCTTCCTAGTACACATGAGAAACAGGGCCTTACTCCCACCCCTTTGGGGTGAGCTGCACCTCCAGTGGCTGACAGCAGGACTCACTCCCAACAGGCCCTTGCACAGGGTATGGGGGGAGGTGGGACCCTCCTCGCATGCACCCTGCAGTCTCCTGTACACTTGCAAAAGGGCTATCACAAGCTGGCTTTATAAATACATAGATCTGCTATTAGAGCATAACTATGAACGGGTGTATAAATAAATGACTAACTCCAATGCAGGTTTCCATATGCCTTTAACCAACATGTTTATTTTAACATATGTTATACTCTGCACAAGAAAGGAAAGAATTCAGTCCTTTGCATTCCTAAGTCTTTGAAGTGGGAAAACTCTTTAAGCTGTATGAGAGAAAAGTACACCTGGCTGGAAATTTAGTTTATGACATGCAAGACTGATTAAGGGGTAAATGCTCTTTTCCTGCACATATTTACAAACCTCCTGAGGATAGATGTTGTCTAATACTCTCATTTCTTGTTTCATCATTAACCAAAAACCATGCACAGGATTGCAAAAGGAAATAAACAGAAATCATTAAGCATCAATAAGCTATAATGGATTGTTAAACTTGGATAGTCGTATAGAGCATTAAGTCTAAATTGATACTTGAAACATTTTTATGAAAAACATCTGTCAGGACTGTAGTGAGAAAGCCAGGATCCTGAAGACTTTGGGCAGAGGGGCTATAAGAAAATGTGAAAAACAACAGAAGTAGGCAGCACTCTATCAGGCACTGTTTCAGCAACTTAAGTACCATCTTTTCTCTAAAATTCAGCCCCGTAAACAACAATTGTCCAGTTATATAGGATTTATCTTTGGATTTCAGATCACTGAGAATCAAGCTATTTTGTTTTGTTCATCATCACTAGTAGTGCTGACCCAGCTGAAGCATATTGGCACACTCTGGTAGTACCCTGGCTCAGTGTTGGTGATAATGCACAGAGCAAACAGAGTGAAATCTTGCCCAAACTGTATTCCGGTGTCAGCAAGGCAGTGTGTATTCTGTGGGGGAACTAGGGGACCTGTGCAGAGCTCTAATGAATTCAGTGCATCTCTATAGGCACAGCAGACTACTCTCCCAATGTGTTGCAGGATTGGGGCTGAATCAGTAGTTCCATAAAATGTATTTTGCACTACCGTAACTGGCTTCACAACCAACTGGTTAATTTTCAGATCCCAGGATGAGGGTTTCTTTAATGAACTGAGTAAATTATATCTAAATGACTAACATACAAACTGGTTCACGTTTTAGAGTGCTGTAGACTCAGTCCTATAGATTCATGCAGAAGACACTGAAAGTAGGCACTGGCCCAAGTAGGACTGGGCTCTCCAATATACTTGTATAAGAGATTATGATTACAATCAAGGAAATGGTCTTCATTTCCTGCAATTCTGTACAGTTGTCACAATATCTTGTAAAATGTTGTCTCTATTTTCCCTAGTAACCTAGAAGGGAGACAAAAATAAAATTAACATATTATGATTTGGTTTACCCTTTGAATAGCCACCTTTGATTTTTTTTTCTCCTTGCTAAAAATAAAGTCCAGTATCTATTTCCATGTTGGGAGAGAAACAACTCTGTGAAACATCCACTTTTTCCTGCTACCTGCAGCAAAATAAGTAATGCTGCTACACCCAAAAACTTATGTAAAAAACTGTTAGAATAAATCTGTAAAAGTACTGCAAATACAAGTGATATTTTCCATGATTATTCATTTGTGATTGACTGACAGAAATCATTCATAAAGCCACCACTCTTTCTCCATTACTACGATTCAAGATACTTTAAACCATTCACATACTGTCTTCAATATTTTTCTGTCTTCAATATTCAACAGAATTCTATTTCAACAAGGCTGAATTCTATGTCAACCATCCCTACAATGAAGAATTAAAACAAGCTCTTAATTATTAGGTAATCTTGCTTTGATGCTGAATAGCTAGGTTTCTCAGAGTACTTGGAGAATTAAAAAAAAACTAGTTTAGGAGTAATGACAGCTGTGTTGGTCCCAAGTTGTTAGAGACACACAAGATGCGTGAGGTACTGTATCTTTTATCGGATGAATTTCTGGTGGTGAAAGACAAAAGCTTTTGAGCTTTCACAGAGCTCTTCTTAGGTTCAGACCTGAAAAAGAGTTCTGTGTAAACTCAAATGCTTGAGTCTGTCACCATCAGAAGTTGGTACAATAAAAGATCTATTACCTCATGCACCTTGTCTTAAAAAGTTTAGGAGCCTTTTGAAAGTGCAAACACCACTGCACAGAGTTGATCAATTCTTATGTCTGTACAATTGTTGGGTTTTAAGAATGTAAGGACTAACAATTGTGTACATGCAAATGTTTTCATTCAGATGTGCATGTACAAAAGTACTTGTGCCAGCACAAGTGAGGACATCACAAATAAGATCTGACCTCACTAAAGTCAATGGGAAGACTCCAATTGACTTCAGTGGGTCCAGAATTTATCCCTTGGACATAAGTGCAATAACTGGATCAGATCATGTTCTACCTACTCCAGTATCTTGTCTTGGATGGTGGCCAGCACTAAATGCTTTAGGGACAGGCAGAAGAAATCCCAAAGTGGGCAGATGCAGGATCATCTGTCCCCAATAAAGGCTCAGTGTAAATTAAGATAGAACCTCATGCTTTAGGGCTTAAACCAATTCTATATCTCTTCCAAAACAACATTTTTTGCTGAAATAAAGAGTAACTCTGGATATATTTTTATACATATAAACATGTTGGTAATGTCATAATCTGCTACTACATACAATAAATGAAGCCATATGCAATTGCGGGTAACATATGTGAACCAGAAGAGACACAGACAGTTAGAAATGAGACATAATACTTTCAGTTTTAATTCCAGAGAGCAAATACAATAATGGGCAATTGAAAAAGTGACATGGAAAACTGGAGGGAGGGAGACTTCTTTAATGTATTTAATTTACTGATCAACACTGAGTAATAAACACATGCAGTGCATGGCACTCAAAAGCGTAGTCATGGGATATTTATCATGGGACATAAGGTACAGTAAACACAGGTAAGTCAGATGCCACAGTCACACAGTAAATGCCTTGACTTCACCTATTATCTTGACTTTCAGGTAACCGACCGAACATGTAAAATAGCAATATCCATTTAAACAGTTTAAAATGCCTATGTAGCTAAAGCTTGTATGTACATATATGCAGTAAGAAGTTATCTAAATTGAGAATAGTGGCAAGCATATTGTACAAATTGAGAAATCTTCATGGTTACCTTGCAAGATTTTTCATACTTATATTCTGCTCTTCCTAACCCCCTCGTGATGGTCTAGTCCTGGGATTTAGGCTGACTTCCAGACAACATGTAAGAACAAAACCTCCAATGTGTATGTTATATATTAAAAATGTCCATGTTTAGTCAGAGAGCTGAAAGTGTTTATGGAGATCAGTGTTACAAAGTATATGGGTAAGACAGAAGAACACACCACCAAGATCCCAAGGATGCAAGAATACTATGGAGTCCATTAGCCCAATGAAAAGACAGGTCCACTCAGGGAAAGATCAACTTGCAAAAAATCTTTATTTGGAGCCCTTTCCTTTTCTGAGCAAAGGAAGAAAAATGGGAAACAAGTGAACTAAAAAAAAAAATCCATATTCCTCAATACTCTTATCAAAATAAACTGACACAGATGGATCAGGAACATCTTGGGCATTTGACTTTAATGATTTTGTGTCTGGTACCTCTGATTTTACTAGGTACATTACAAATAGGATTTGACATGTAGTTACCAGATGCCATGAAAACCAAATGCAAGATAACTATATCAAGAGCTGAAGACCAAGGAAAAACAAAACAAAGAAAACGTTGCAACGGAAGGGACAAGGTGAAAATTAGAAAGGGAAAATGGTGCTTTCAGTAAACAATATAAGTGTGGGGCTTAGAAAAAGATCAGGTTCTGCAGGATGATTTTAGAAATTAAAAATACCCCTCTGATAATGGGTGCTTTTTATTCCACTAGTGAAAATATACTTCTAGTAAACTGAATTTATGCAGAATGATGCATGGACAGTTCATAAAGATGATGAATGAACAGTGCATAAACACTCTTATTCCATGTCATACAGAAGCTGATTGAATACATGGGAAAGAACATGCATTATTTATAATCCAAAGATGTTAACTTGCTCCTACTCTTCTGTGATGCAGTGGATTTGCACCATGCTTCAATTGCCCTGATGTATGAGCATGATATATTTTTCCACATTGAAACCTACTTATGGATTCTTGTCTGCTTTTTTTTTTTTTTTAAACACAACTGGAAACCCAAACTTCACTAGTGTATTCTTCACAAAAGCAAAAGAAAAAATGTAAGGAGAAAATGAATGTAAGCCAGCTTCGGAGTAAAACCTGGGCATCTGTGCTATGTATGATATTCTACCTATACAGAGAGACTGTGTCTACATTGGCACCCTTTTCCGGAAAAGGGATGCTAATGAGACACTTCAGAATTGCAAATGCCGCGGGGGATTTGCATGAACATGGCTGCCGCTTTTTTCCAGCTTGGGGTTTTGCCAGAGAGAAGTGCCAGTCTAGATGGGATCTTGCGGAAAATAAACCCTTTTCCGGAAGATCCCTTATTCCTACTTTCCGTAAGATCCCGTCTAGACTGGCGCTTTTCTCCGTCAAAACCCCGAGCCGGAAAAAAGCGACAACCATGTTCATGCAAATGCCACGGGGGATATTTAAATCCCCTGCGGCATTTGCAATTCCGAAGTGTCTCATTAGCATCCCTTTTCCGGAAAAGGGTGCCAATGTAGACACAGCCAGAAAGTTCTAGAGAGCTAGACAGTGAGGGTGGACCATCCGGCATTGTCACTGGGAAGATGTAGTTCCCTCAGAGCTGGAGCCATTCAACAATACAAGATAAGCTCTTTGGGGGGCAGGGACAATCTTTTTTTTTTTTCCTTTTCTGTGCTTGTACAGCACCTGGCACGACAGGTTCCTGACTGATGACTAAGGCTCCTAGATGTTATGCTAGAAGAAGAAATTACCACCACCACCAATACAAAACCCTCTGATTATATACGAGTTTCATACTAAATACATCCCAAATGCCCATTTCCTACGAGCGGCACTACACCCACTTAAAGCAGCAAAGGATCGAATCACAAAAGGGCAATGATGGTGCAAGTAAAAACAGCACCCTTTGCATGCTCAGCTATGGCCATCGGAACTCCTATTAAAAGATATGGAACAACTATGCCTAATTCCTCAGTAAGTCACCACGGAAGACAAAAGTAGTCTAGAGCTACCTGTCTACCTGTACACTTGGAGGTACAAACTGCTCCATGCCACAAACCAGCAAGAAATGATTGATGCTGCTTTTCTGTGCAAGAGCTGCAGGGGTACTTCAAATCCTCCCCCATGCTATGGCCATTCAAGAATGGAGATGGGGAGCTAATGCTTAAAGTAGCCAGCAAAAACACCTGCATCGTCAGACAGCTTCAGATCCAGCTTCATGCACAAATGTGAACCAGCAGGGAAGGAACAGGTATCTACCTCTTAATGTGCAAGATACGTTCATGTTAACGTGCAAGGCAGATAGCCTGCCAGATGACGCTTCAGTACATTAGACCCTTGTGACTTGGGAACCATCACAATCGGTTACATATCTCATCTCCCACATGTGAGCTAATCGACTGAGTAAACAATTTTCCATAGAATGAGAACAGTATATCATGATCCTACCACTGTAAACAGACTGCTGGCTTTCTCGGAGAACATGATACAGTTGTCTACTCTAGACCCAGTAAAGGCAACCAAAATTCCATAACTTCAATAGTGAGAGCAGACGGCCTAGTATTGAGAAGTCAGCAGAGGCATAGGTGGAGTTGGCATAATTGATGCTGTGATCCTAGCAGTGAGGAAGATGTAGCCTGTTACCACATGTGACCTACTTCTCTGGATTTTAAAGTAAGCAGTCACTAAAGCAGGGGGAGGCAATAAGCGGCCAGGATGCTGTTCACCAGGGTTAGCTCCTGGCAGGCCACCAGCTGATTTATCTACCTGCGGACACACAGGTGAATAAAGCTTCTGGCTCATTAATGCACACACTGGTTGATGACTAGCAGATGAAAGTGGTAATAGATACCTCACCATGGAGGCTGCAGGGACAGGATACAGATTCTGATGTGATGCAGAAATGGTCAATGGCATGACCATATCCTTATTAGGAATATATCCAAGGGGGCGGGGGGAAGGGAGGACGATCAAATCCCATTAGTATAATTTCACACAACCACATAATATTTGACAATTAAAGTGAATATTCTGGGGAGCTGCCTGGCATAGTAAGGCAGACATTTCATAGTGATTTAAAGAGCACAGACTAAGATCATGCAGCATATTAAGTAGCACCAAAATAACTTTTTCCTTCATCATGTATTCAGTTTTAATTACGATGTATACAAAATATAGTAAGCACTCATAACTTATATCACTAATCATGAACTATAATACAGTAGTATCTATTTGCACGGTGTATTGCATTGATATATTCTCTCTGTGCATCCTAATTTTCTGACAAGTCAATTATTATTTTTTTGTAGTTCATAAGGATCTAGTGTTCTGTTCTGGAAATATGGTCTAATTCTGTGTGCTAGTTTTGGTTAATATGAAGCACAAAATTAAACTGCAGGCAAGAGATCAATTTAATGTTTTGCTTGTTTTGTTAAACATCTAGCATATTTCTGGATGCTTAATAAACAAACCTCTTAAACTGATATTTCTATAAGGAGACACCACCACAACTGTTAAGATACGAATTTGAAAATTCGTCTACACTTGATTGCAGCGTCTTAAAGTGCAGTTCTAATCTGATCATTAGGGATCATAATAATGGACTCCATGTTGTTGTGTCTCCATGGCTCCCGATAAAGTATGCTCCAATTACAATGCTCCCATCTTTCTTCTCTAATTACCAATCCTGCAAACTCCGCATGAGTTCATTGTCAAGCTAGGTTCTTTTCTTCTCACACTTCACTGGCAGCAAAGCTTCTGCAAGTCAGTTTTCAAACATGAATTATACTGGAAAGCAAGAATGAATGCTGATCTGGCACTTTCACACCATGGTGATGGGAGCTATAGAAACAACAATACTAATATTACTTCTACAGGCCCATTCATGCACTCTTTAGTTCTCTGGTGAGAGTCTGCCAACAAGAGTGCCCATTTTGTGTGTGTGTGTGTGTGTGTGTGTGCGCGTGCGCGTGATGTGAACATCTACCCAATAAGAACGCAACAAGGACCATTTCATTCATTTCTCTAGGGCTATCCAACAGGCATTCACTGATGGCATTCAAATAGAGCCAGATTCACAATGGTGACCTAAAAGTGAAAGGCTCCTTAAAAATCCTGAAGATGACTTACGTTGAACACCTTCACATCCTTTCGACTTCTTATTTCCTCCACAAGACCCAATGGCTTGCCTTTAGGTATTGGTATAGTTCCAAGAATTGTGGTCCTTGAACTAGTCAGAATTTGGCGAACAGCTTGGATGAACGATTGGCTGAAAAGTTCCATTTTACCAATCTCATCTATTATGCATACTTTTTTCTCTGTGTCACCGTCAAGATCAACCTATAGGAAAGATACACAAATGGATTAAAAATAGAAAGAAATCAAGACTGAAGAGCCACTCTTCTTCGTTGAAGAAGTGTCAGTTCAGAAGTAACTGAACTGAAGTAGAGCTAGAGCAAAAGGGCAGGAAAGATAGTCCAGTCACTAAGGATGTCAGCAGCCAGTGAGTCTATTACCTAACAAAGCAACAGGATCCCAAATGGAAAAAAAAGGAAGAGCCAACAGTTTTTCTTTGACTGAGATTTGCAGTTTTAGGGAAGCAATTACCACATGGCGCAGTTCCACAATCTTATGAGTTATTTTTCCTAGCATGTGAGTAGCACAGAAGCTTTGAAGATGTAGTATGTTGTTTTTAGTTTTGTGACGTAGGTTCTTTTGGAGAAAACTGTTGGAAACAGTAGGAGAGTTTGCTCTCCAACTCAGTTTCTCTAACTAGAGTCAATTTTTGGTGAAGAGTTGCTTCCGATGAACAAATCATTAGTGGGTTAAGATTTTAGAAAGAGAATGTCTGCATGGGGTTTGTAACTACCCTTGTTCATGAACTGGTGTGTATAATATAAATAAGTTACAATAAGAAAATATTCAGACTCCAAGTCATTGATTTCTTCTCCCAAGGAAACGGACTTTTAAGGCCTCAACATCTGCTACTGCTTTGCAGAAATGTGATAGTATTTTTGCACATCAGCTACTGTAGTTAAGTCTGAGGGGCAGTAGGTCTTCAAAGCTGCATTCACACCCACTGCACCCACAAAACTCTGCATTTGCATGGGTCAGCAGATAAATACACTTACAATTAAGGCAGGGGTAACCAAACTGGTATGCATGCCACTGGTAGTACAGGAGTTTGACGCTTCAGCCATTCACTTTACAACCATTTTTAAGATGGTGCAAACCAATAAAGTACAGAAATCTGACAAGCTACAGATTAGATGAAAGCACGTTCACCACCCTCTTCTGAGGCAATTAACTGAAGAATCAAATTCTATTATGTATGTAAGCAGCAAATCAACCCAAGTCAAAACTTCCCTGTTAATCCAGCTCTGAATGTAACTTAAGGGAAACCCATCTACATGTCCCTTGTGAAGATAGAAAATGTCAGTGTCTACGAAAACGGATGCACTACATAATGTTTTTCCTAAAACCTTTCAGAGCTGAGTCCTTACAGATGTCTGACTCCCAACAGGGTGGGACAGTTGTATCTAAAACTCCTTTACAGATCAGTGAACTGAAAAAAACAGTACCTGCTACCAGGAAAGTGCTAAGAAATGGAGCTGCTTCTTTGTACAAAATCCCCAGTCCCTTCAGGATAAGTTTCCAAAGCCCCAATCAGAACCCATTTTAGCATCCACTCTCCTTCCCAGTGAAGTCAGTAGGAGCTAGCCCATAGAGTCTAAGCAGTCCCACAAATATGTTAAATAGCATACATCTGTTTCAAGATGTTTTGTGATCAAAGCAGACTAACATAAACTTGAGACTGACATTCTACATTTTCCAGTAAATTATAGTGGGGCTTTGGTACTCAAGAGACTAATATCTGACATATTTTGCTATTTCTACAAACCATCCATTAAAAAGGACCTTGACTACCTGGCATATGCTGCTGTCCCATAGTTCCTACAAAAATATTAATGTGATCCCTGTAGATTTAATGGTAACCATCTAAGATTATTTGTATTATTACAGAAGGGTGGCACATTAGTAGAAATATAATATCTATCCCTCTTTAATTCTTATACTTCCACTTTACTTCACCTACTCTTATTTTCCACTGATCTCTTCCTATGCCAAGCTGATGCTGTCCTTCCATTTCACACTATTCTCTTCCCATTGTATACCATGCATAGCATTGGTGGGCCACTAGACAGTTTGTTGACACTGACCATCTGCAGGCATGACCCTCTGCAGCTCCAATTGGTCAGGACTGGCAAACCGCAGCCACTGGGAACTGCCGGGGTCATGCTGACAAAGTCATCATCATCAATATTTCTCGCAACCCGCTCGTGGATTACCCTGATGGGCCGCAAGCTACCCACCACTGACCTATAGGTAAGACCCTGCTCCCACTGAATCAATGGGACTTTTGCTACTATTTTCAACAGGAGCAGGAAATTCTCCAACTCCTTTCTACCGTTCATGCTCTTTCACACATTCACATAGCTCCACTATGCTTGTGAGCAAAGTGAATATTACTTGATTTCTTTTAGTACGATCTCTCTTTGAATGTATAGAATCATAGAACACTAGAACTGGAAGGGATCTCGAGAGGTCATCAAATCCAGTCCTGTGCCCCAATGGCAGGACCTAGTACCAGGATAGATGTCTGTCTAACCTGCTCTCAAATATCTCCAGTGACCAACCTCCCTAGGCAATTTATTCCAGTGTTTAGCCACCCTGTTTTCCTAACATGCAGCCTAAACCTCTCCTGCTACAATTTAAACTCATATTTTTAAATAATCAGTTATATAATCCTTTAAGTATACTAAGTGCAGCCCTTGTTTAGTGAGGACTTTTCCCCCAGATTAAGTTTACTGTAAATCAGGCTTCATTTTTAAATTTAAAAAAAAAAAAACTGTAAATGTTACTGATGTCCTCTTTCCCCTTTGTCCTCCTACCCCCTTCAAATTCCTTCAATCCACTCCTTCTTGCCACACAGTTGAATAATTTTTCCTTCTCCAAAGTGTTAGACAAAATAATCTCAATCTCATTTTTGTTTCCTATCTAGTCTGTTTTCCTGTCCTCTTCAGAGGTCTTGCAAAATTCTCTTCTCCCTAGCCTGACTTGCTTTTAGCAATGTAATGAAATCACCATCAAAAAGATTTCTCTAGTAGTGGTCTCAGCAGCTGTTGCACTGTTTACTGGAAGGTGCTGACAAAAGATCTGTTTTCGTTTAATTTAGGAGCAAGAGGTGGTAGAGCAGCAATTCCAGGAAGGACATTATCTGTTGATGACTACAAGCACAGTATCTGATGGGTTACCACCTATCTACCTCACATGTGATTTAAATACATTTCAGATAGCATGTGAAGGGAAGGAAAGAGGAGGATGTAACACAAAGGAACACACACATTGGACTACTCTTCATTGAAATACACTTCAGACACTTGGTTGTGCAAGTTTTGTCACCAATACATTTCATAAGTGAAGAAACATTGTTCCCATTACTCTGTGTATGGAGCCTGGAAAGAGAAATTATAAAAACCAATGTTGACAACACTTGTACTATGGAACGTGCCTTCCATAGAAAACATCTAGAATCTGACATACAGCAACAGAGGTCCTACTCTGATATACCCAGAATGCTCTGCAAGCAGCACTGGACTGATCCTCAAGTTACTATCAACATTAGTATCAGTAACTGAAGATGTACCAAGTCTGCAAGTTTTTTGCAACAAGGTTAATTAAAAGAGAGAAAGATTAAGACCAAACAAACATTGCTTCCACTTGAAACATTCTTTCCACATTCAGAGGAAAAGGAAAGCTAGGAAAAGTGGATCACAGCAAGCAAGAGAACAGGTTCTGGTCCTGGTCCAAGCTTCCTTTCTTGGGACTCCATGGGAAATCCTCTATCGGCATTCTCCAGAAGAAACGCATACATTTTGTGGGTGCAAGACTGAACTGAAACAGCTGTTCACCCTAGCAAACTCTGCTGCTGAATCCTCCAATATCCAAGACTGTGGTTCCCTGCCACAGCTGATAACAGTGCAGCCTTAAGGGTGCTTCTATGATGTGTGTGTTGCCAGAGTGATGGTGGATCAGAAAGAACGGTTTTGATGAGCGAGGCAAAGGGGTCTCCAGAAAGTCACACAGATCACAGGAGACTGCTCTCTCCCTTTCAGGACCTGCAGTGAGTGCAGGACATCCAAACCTAAAACAGAAGTCATTATGGCTACCCAACAATTTTAACCTATCAAGCCTTCTGATAACACTCTGTTCATTATACTTGCTTTGCAGAAGGTTTCAAAGGATACTTACATTTCTCAGCACAGGAAGTACCAACTGCTCGAATGAAACCAGGTCTACTACATACTGTCCAACACGATATTCACGTTTTGTAGAAGAAGAATCAGAACTGAATTTACAAAATTAAAAAAAGTGAAAATAAAATTAACCACAAATTTGCCGTAATAGTTTTAGCTGTGCTGGCAGACGTGATTATCAGTTTCCCCACTCTCCCCTCCCACAAAATCTACAGTGGATAAGCTACCGAAAATAGCTTTTTCTACTACTACATAGACACACTATTATAGGTTATTCACAATGTGATCTAAGTGTGATATTAAATATTATGTAGACGGATAACAGGGTGAAGAAGCCAAAGTTTTGCATGATGTATATGTCTAGTGAAGCAGGATTTATGTATTTTGTACCTCCTACCCAGTGATTTGAAATATGTGCCTCGTTAAAAACACAGTTATGGAATTTATGGGACAGTCAGTAGCTTGTTATAAACAGCTTATCTGAACTTATCTTCCTTGATTCAGAATCAACTGTTCTGTCTCTTAGAAAGTAATTGAGGAAGCAAGTTATTTTCCTTGCAACCTAAACAATAGTGGCTGGGATCATGAAACCAGCTTGCATGTTCTTTGTATGATGGGGATTCTGAGCCCATTCTGAAGTCAGAGAATCCAGCTGACTGATGCTCTGCAGCAGGGAGAAGACGGACAACCATTCTGAGCTGGTAGGATTTTTTAGGCTAACTTGGCAGAGATGCAAATGTTTGCATCAAGTGAAGGAATCATTCCAGAGAATCTAACAAAGAATGTGATCCTGAAAGCACGCTGCATGTGGAAATCCCACTGACTTCAAGGGGACATTTAAGGCATGAAGGTGTTTGCAGGACTGTCCCTAAAGCAGTAACCACCATAATCTATTAAAATAGCAGTACCCAAGTCTAGATAAAGCTCCTCGTCTCCCAGACAATGTGACGACATCAAATCCTATTCTCCTGCCGCTTTCTCTGACTTCCTGTGTGTAAAATCCATCAATAGTGACCCCAGAGGATTTTAAGGCTTCAATGGCTTTCTGGATCAATGTCGTCTTTCCAATCCCTAAAATAAGGAAGTGCCTGTTATTAGTGCAAGCAAAGCATAAAGCCTGGTTTTAAACTTGCCCATTCTGAGGCAGCAATCACATTTGGCAGACAGATGGCTGGCTACACACAATTTATACAGATTGTTGAAATCAGAAGTAAGAAAAACATTAAACCTTTTTATCCTGGAGAAGGGGGAAAAAAGGTTTCACATGACATTTTGAAGGTTTGTTGGCCTCTGTCATACGCAACCTCCCTTAATTCCAGTGCCATTTGTTCTCTTGTTGGCCAAAAGGTCTGAGTTCAACTCATCTTTAGAGTAAATGGTTAAAAATAACAATTCCCTATGGACCTGATTTTCACAGATGTTGAGCAACTGCAGCTCCCATTGGCTTCAGAGGAGCAGTGAGTGCACAGCTCATTGCTTCTGAAAATCAGGCCTGGGAAGACAAAATGACTTTGAAAATCCAAATGGATACCTCTCTGCATCTTTAGGCACCTAAATGCTTTTAAAAACAGGGCCAAATTCTATCATGTCTTGTACCACACAACCCTACAAGACATTACAATAATACAGATAATAATTATGCTAAGAGCCCTAGCCTTGTCCTACTACCACCTTGTGCTGAGTGCTGTACAAACAGAACAAGATTGCCCCAAAGAGCTCCCTATCTAAGGAATAAAGGTAGCAGTCACTTTTATCCTCAGATACTGGTTTAATCTACATTAGCATTTGCATGGGATTAGGCTAGGCAAGGTAAGAGGGTTTTTAAAACACTGTTGTACCAGCCACATATTATGGCAGTGAGCAATGTAAATGCCTGTATTTGACAGACCTATGTTAAATTCAATTTGTAAAACTGAACATCTTTAGACTGTCCCTTTAGTGAGATTTATACTAGATATTAAAAATGCTTTATGATAAACATAGTGTTCTAATCCAGTGGTCTCCAAAGTGGGGTGCGTGCATCCCAGGGGGTGAGCAAGACGATCCGAGGGAGTGCATGCCGCCACGCAACAGCTGAGAGGGAAGATGCCTGGTTCGCAAGACATCCGAGGGAGCGCATGGGCGGCGTGTTCAAACACCCGTGCAACAGCTGAGAGGGGAGATGCCTGGGCGTGCCATGACATCACGGCCCGGGACTTTAAAACTGTACGACCCAGCTCCAGGCTCGGCACATGGTCTGGGACCACGGAAGCAGCTGGGGCCGGGCCCGATCACAGATTCAAACTGGAAGGCTGGGGGTGGAGGTACGGGAAGAATAGGGGGAAGGGGTGGGAGAGGAAGGGGCTTGTGCTGAGGGGAGGAGGGCAGGTCAGAAGAAGAAAGGGGAAGACAGCATGGAGGAGAGACAAATGCCAGGGGGCCAAGTGGAGACAGTGAGGAAAAGGGCAGGAGGGGAGGTGTCAGTGGGAGGGGGGACAGGGTGATTCTGGGAGAGGAGGGGGAAGGGCATTGAGGACTAGAGGGGGTAGGGGGAGGTGCTGGGATAAGGCTTGAAAGAAGGGGTGGGCATGAGGAAGGTGGGGATGGAGCAAGGCATGTGTGAGGGCACAGGGGCATGAGGGGAACAGGGGGCAGAGGATGGTGAGGAGGTGGGCATCAGGGAAAAAGAGGGCAAAAGGAGCAGGGGCAGTGAGGGAAGGGGGGGCACCAGGAGGGTGCAGGGCTAAGGGAAGGTGCAGGTGCCAGGGAATTCTGGGGATGAAGCAGAAGGGCAGACACGTGGAGGGACCAGCACCAGAGGAGAGAGGCAGGGCAGGTGTGTAGAGGAAGGTTGGGAGGTAGCTCACATGATCAGAGTGGGGCTACTGGAGGAGTGGGCACAGGGGGGAGAGAAGGGCTGGTGAAGGGGGGCAGGTCACAGGAGGGCTGAGGGTAGTGAGAAGGGCAGGAGTCAGGACAGCAGAGGGTGAGGGGCAGCAGGCACCAAGGGAGCTGGTGGAGCAAGGGGAGGAGACATAGCAGCAGAGGGAAAAGGTAGAGGTTTATACGATATTTATTAATAACTTGGGTGACACAGTGGCACATCCAAACAAGCCACATGAACCTGGTGCACAACACAAAAGTCATTCTGCTCATGGGCGGAAACTCTGAGGGAACACTTCCCCCAGCCTCTCTGCCCCCTCCGCCCCTAAGTTAACGTCACACACATTGGGTTAATGCAACTGCAGGATAGTTGCATGAGGGGAGCTTGGTGGGGGCCAAACTAATCCCTATTGGTAGGAGGATGGTGGGAAAAGTCCTTAGAGAGGGGTCACATGACACCTTTTACTTCTGGTCATGTGTCCATCTTACCCCAAGAGTGTTACCTCCTGAGGCCTGGCTAATGGGGTCAGGGGCGTGGTTAACAGCTGGTCAGGTGTGTGGCTAATGAGGGTCAAAGAGTAAATTTAAAAAAAAATTATAAATATGCATATACTGGGGGTGTGTACTCAAAAATTTTTTACTGATGGGGTGCATGATCAAAAAAGTTTGGAGACCACTGTTCCAATCCATTACTGGTTTTAATAATTACTTCTGAACTCAACAGCTTTACAACAGTTGTAAAAGATATTGAAAGAACTTAATGAGACTAATACCTGTACTTTATTATTCTCACTAATATACGCATTATGTTATGTTTACAGCTATTATGTTAATCTATGAAAAAACTAATTCCTTTAGTTTTTTTGAAAAACCCAAGACCAAAAGATTTTTTAAAAGATCATTCATTTGAGATTAGTGGCTAAATCAGGTGCTCATATTCATCATTTCCTAGGAGCCAATATTTATGGAAATCTCCAATTAGCACCAGCAGTGGGATCAGCAGCAGTTCACAATACAGAGCAAACTGCAGGACAGATGATGCCAAAGTGACAATGAGCATTCAAATAAAAATAAAATGACTAGTATGGCACTGGCAGTATCAGCTTCTTCAGCACTCAGGGGCCTTGTCTACATGAAGCAAACTGCACTGATTTACTTAAACAGATTTTAAAATTGTAACTTGGTCATTTTAATTCAGTAGTTTACCAATACAAACTAAACTTATACAAACAAGAGTTAAACCAGTTACATTTATGTAGAGGAGGGAGGATTTCCTGCTTTAACTGGGTCAATTTAAAATTGTAGGTAGATAAATCACTGTAAAGGAAGTCTGTATAGCCTTAGGAGCTTCAGGGGGCAGCCGAGTTAGTCTGTTACAGAAAAAATAACAAATGGTCTGGTAGCACTTTATAGACTAACAAAACACGTAGATGGTATCATGAGCTTTCGTATTTCCAACTCATAACTCTGGTCATCTGAAGAAGTGGGCTGTGCCCACAAAAGTTCATGATACCATGTACAGCCTTAGGCACTCTCCAGACACAAGCAGTTTGATTGCCTCACCATCTTGCCTCTTCCGTAGTTATTTATACTGTGCAAAGTGGGCATAAGTGCTACCATTCTCACCTACCAGCATTTTATGCTCACTCTACACAAGTATAAACAACTACAGGAAGCATAAAGCAGTGGAGAATTAGGCCTACATAATCTCACTTTTTGAATTTGATAGCTAAGCTATAAAAATTGTTGGTTTATTAATTAAACTTATAACAAAAGAACAACAGTATTTCTGTCTGTTTTACCTCAACAATAATCATATTGCCTTGCAGCAATAAAGCATTCAATCTTCTTCAACTCATTTGGGTTCCAATTACCTCCTCAAAATAGAAGGACAATGATTTTGCAGTATAAATGTAAATTAAATTGAACAAGCTAACTCATGAAAATTAACTTACAGAAATATTAATGTTAAGGAAATTACTAATGCTTGTAGTTTAATTGATGTGGGCTTAGAATTTATAAAGACCCCCTCCAACACAAAAATAGTGGTCGGAAGTCTATTTATGGTCTCGATTTACTGAATTCAGTCTTTCTAACCCAAATAGCAGACAACCAGAAAGCAGATCTGCAATACTGCCTATTATTTGAAAAAGGACTGGGTTAATTGAAAAACAATTGTTATACTTGTACGTAGGCACGTTGGTGGGTGCTTCAATGAAGAATGAGAAATCAATGTAATCATCGTTTAAAAAAAACCCCTCTCCTTTACGGGGGAGTCCAGTAGAGAAACAGCTGTCCTGCACGCGGGGATTTCTGCACCCGTATAAATGACCGATTTAGTTACAGCGGTGCAGGCTCCTACTACAGTTGCAATCGCAGTGAGACGGCGGAAACTCAGTCTGGAAACTGGCCACAGAGGCTGCGTACGTGCATCTGCGGGGCAGGCAGTAACATGCCGGGGAGGTTGCCCCGGGGCTCGGGAGGGAGGAAGAGATTGGGAGGGGGGCTGGG